ACTGTGACCTTTGACATTGGCTTTTACTTAGCTAGGATGTGACTTCTGACCCAGAGAACATGTCCTTTGATCTGCTTTCACGAGTTGGGCCCTGGTGAGTGACCCCTCTATGCTGCTTTTGCCGAACAGGGTCTGAATCGGGTAAAGGCCCTTTTACTCTCGCCGGCCTAATTCGAAGTCCTCTGAGAAAACCTTCATCTATCTATAATACTTATTCCCCTTTTAGCTCTTTCATATGCAGACACAATATGAGGTGCAGAATCCATTGAGTTTTCTCGTGTGAACCAGCGATCTTCATTTGGATCCTGATAAGCGAATCTCACCTTATACTTTCGTTGTGGTCTGCCTCTACGTCCAGTCTGAAAGGTACTTTCAGCAACAATCTTATCCAGATCGTATTTCCCATCCATACTAGGAGGTATCGCTGATCTGCGACTGGGAAACAACTCATTTGCTACACAAGGTAAGAGTTTTGAAGCGTGGAATACTGGATACATATGCAAATGTAGAGGAATTTCAATTACATATGAAGGACCATCCACGTCGCCAATCACATCTAGAACCTGCCAAGGTCCTCTGTAGGCTGGTGACAACTTCTGGGAGATGTTCTCTTCGGGAGCAAACTCCTTGGACTTAACCCACACGAGATCACCTACAGCAAACTGTGAAGGTCTTCTATGCTTATTTGCCTGCTCAATCATCTGATGTTGTGCTTTGACAATGTTTTCTTTTACCTTTTCAATGTCTTTGTGATATTGAATTGCAAATTCACTAGTTCCTAGTGGAAGCTTATGTACTTGATCCGGGCTTAGCCGATCAATAGGCTTGCGAGGACGCCATCCCAGATGCAACTCCATCGGAGTTTTGCATGTAGATAAATGTACAGAGTTATTGTAAGCGCTAGCAACTTTGGGCAAATGTTTGTCCCAGTCAACCTGGTCAGGACGAATATACATATGCAGCGTTTGCTGCAAAATCTTGTTCATTTGCTCAGTCTGGCCGTTAGTCTCATGATGTCTGCCTGAAGACATAGTCAACTTAGACCCATAGACGTTCATTAGTTGCTGCCATTGTTCACTTGTGAACCTTGTGTCTATGTCACTCACGATCGTTAAGGGATGTTCATAGTCTTTCCCCCAATGATTAAAGAACTCTCGGATTAACGCAACAAAGACAACATATTTACTAAACCTGTCTACAATTACCATTACTTGCGTCTTTCCATTCCTGCTTTTTACCTTGGAGTTCATAAACTCAATGGACACAGAGTCTCGTGGACCTGTTGGAATAGGCAAATGCTTAAGTAGACCAAGGGGAGGTTGTGTGGTGCTCTTATTTCTTTGGCACACTTGACAACCCTGCACATATGCAATGCAGTCGGGTTTCATGTGAGGCCAGGTGTCGGAATGTAGAAGGGTTGCGTAAGTCTTCCTCCACCCAAAATGACCCTCGGTGTCGTGACATTCCCCTAAGATCAAACTTTTGATCTCCTCTACATTGGGAATACAAAGCATATCATGCACATCAATCCTTTCAAACAATAGTCCTTGTGTGATACGATAGTTAGGAAACTCTGCTGGCGCTTCCTGTACACGCTTAAGCATAGCGCCATAGACAGGATCAGTGGAATAAGCATTTCTAATTTTTTCTTGCAAATCGGTGCCCACATCTAAGTATGTTACAATGGCACCAAAGAAATCTGATCTTCGACTTAATGCGTCGGCGACAATATTATACTTACCCTTAACTGGCTTCAGCTCAAAATCATATTGATCAATCTCAGCGGCCCACCTAGTCAACTTAGGTGTCATCCGAGCCTGCGTTTTAAGCCAACGAAGTGTCTCATGATCGGAATATACCTTGAAATGGCGTCCTAAGAGATAGTGTCGCTAATGATCCAAAGCTTCCCAGAGAGCATATAACTCTCTCTCATACGTAGAAGCGGCGACCTTCTCGTTAGGTAGTCGCCGGGACATAAATTCCACAGGCCTGTACCCATTTTCGTCGTCTTGTTGGAGTACAACGCCTATTCCGTACTGACTGGCGTCAATCGTAACAACAAAGGGCAAGGAAGGGTCAACAACCTTTAAAACCGGGTACTTAATCAGACATTTCTTCAAACGTTTAAACGAGGCTGTACAGTTTGAATTCCACTTCCAGACGGTTTCCTTTTTAAGTAATTTGCGAAGGGGCGCAACAATTATCGTGAAATACGTCTCAAATTTCCGATAATAATTGGCTAGCCCAAGGAACGACCGCAACTCAGTCAAAGTGCGGGGGTTAGGCCAATCGCGAATTGCCGCAATTTTCGTATCTTCCGGTTTGATTC